ACACACACACACACATACATACATACATACATACATACATAGCTAGAGCTCAGTTACGTAACGCTGTTAAGGATGGACAAAGGCTCTGCAGGAGACATTGTGTGCTGTCCCTTGCTCTTTCTCTGTCTTCCATCAGCACTTTTAAAATGAATGGTGCTCAGAGCGAGGCCAGTGATTTTGGTCTTTGAAGCTCAATATCACAAATCCAATACTCTCTTCCACTGCTGCCAGGTGTTAATGCAGAAAAAGTTCTGCTTTTATGGACACTTGGAAAAAAATGCTGCAGTGCTACCTGATGATTTTGATTATAATATGTATATATACTGTATATACACTAGTATGAAACTTAATGATTAGTGTATTGGTACTTGAAGGTACTGTAAAGAATACAGTGGTACAAAAAACATGGTGTAGTCATTTTTCTGGGACTTGGAGGTAGCAGACTTGCATTTAACATTCAGCATCTTTGAAAATGTGTGATATGGGTTAATTAAGCGAGGAAGAGTATGGCAGGTGCTGGATTTAACAGATTTGCAGAGGTAGTAAGGATCTTAGGTGAGTTCAAAGAGTGCTTGATTCACATTCAGTCAGCAGTGACGTTTGTTCGTAACACACTGGCTGAGTCATCCTGTAAATACCGTTCATAACACAGCAGTCGCTTCCTGTGTGGGTGAATCTCAAGAACAACACGTCTGGCTCTTTAATAACTAAAATAAATGTTTTATATATATTTTTATATAAATTTTAATATTGTGTACAACATTTTAAGTATATTTGATTAGTTTTTGTTTTATTGTTTGTTCATTACCTGTATTCTCAGTGAAGATTCTCATTAGATTCTCATTACTGTATTATACACAATAATATATTTTTAACCATATAAATTACAGTAGTATGTCATCCTTAATGTATTCTCAGTTCTTTCCCTTTAAATAATTTATTTCATTTTTATTTTATTTTATTACAAATTAAACTAAAATCATCTTGTGACTGTTCTTATTTTATTTGAGCTAATTTTGGTTTTGTGTGTACTTTTTCCCAATTTAAGTCTGTTTGTATTTTTATTTCTATTAAGTGAAATTGTTTTTCATTTTTGTTTGTTTTTGTTAATAACACTTTGTGTATCTGAAAAGTGAGGCTCAGTCTGAACCATGAGTTTTTGTTTTGTTTTTTTGTTTTGTTAATTTGGGTAGAACACGCATCCAATTTTGATGATCCAAACTATTTGAGGCCAAACTGAAGATGTCTTTCCAGCCAGGCATAGAAGTCTGTATTTGAATGCGTGTATGTGTGTGGGTTGCACATGTAAATATTTCTTAACCACCTGGTCGTGTTCCTTTAACACCCACCATTAAGATATTCTGCTAGCGCTTGCTGGTCATGCACAACGTGATGTCTCCATCCCAACCGAGATTACGGCCTACAGTCAAGCTGCTCGCCAAAGCAGAGGCTGTGAAACATGTCTCACTTCACCTCCATCACTGCTCAGCCTGCAAAATAACACACACGCTGTCTGTGTCTGCAAAGCCATTGCACTTTGGATTCAGTCACACATCCATTTTGTTTGCTTCTCCATTTCTGTGTTTGGTTTGACAATTTTGCTTTTTGTTTGTCTGTTTGTGTGTTTGCCATCTCAGCTTTGTACCAATGGCTAGAGGCCGATCGTCAGGGCAGGGATCCAGAGGCCGTGGCAGCAGGTAAACGTCATCATTAACCTCCTCACCACTAAGCTTCCTTCAATTTCTCCATTTTTATTTCCCATCCTTCGTTCTATTGTCCCTGATTACACCTGGTATTAAGATCCACTTTGAATGATCCAATCTCAAGAGGTCAGGCAAGAAAGATTGCCGTTTAAACCTGGTTTTAACATGCTTTCCAAATGTATCCCGTGTCTACTTGTGTATATAGACTTTGATGGGAGGGTTTCTGATTTTGACTAAATATTTTGCTTACTGCATCAGTGCATTAAGTGCACTGCATGCAGTGAAAACAATCACCACAACCAAGCACTTCTCCCAAATATTGAAGGGGTCATATGATGCGATTTCAATTTTTCCTTTCTCTTTGGAGTGCTACAAGCTCTTGGACTAATCACAAAATCTCAAAATTAATATCCACATTTCATGCTGTACATTTTAATATTGTGATTTAGATTCACTTGCAGTTTTTAAAATGAGTATTTTATTTAATTATTTAAAGATTGGAATTTCAATTTTATAGATTATTTAATATTATTGTAATACTTATTGATTAAATGTATAGATACATGATTTAGAGATGTAATTTTTAAAATGTATTTTATTTTAATATATTAGAATGTTGTTATAATTATTATTATTTATATTATTCATTCTTATTGTATTATTACATTTATACAATGATAAATTAGTGTATAAATCATAGTTTTTCATTTTTATTAATTTAGAATAAATATATTATAAAAATTTTATATTTTAATATTTTAATTGTTAAAGCTTATAGAATTTTAATATTACTGAATGTTTAATATTATTTTCACATTTATCAGTCAAATGTGTAAATAAAATAAATTTAATATCCACAATTTTAATGTTGCTGCAGATCTGTGCAAATAAATATAAGCACTTTCTTGGATTGAGTAGTTATTTTGTTTTGGAGCTGCTTCTAACCATTTAAAAGCCCTCATTTTAATTTATCATTTAGCTATCCGGGTTGCATCAGAACAGATTAATATTTACCTTTATATAATATATACAAATGTAATGTAATGTGTTTTTGGCTACCACTTGACTTGATTGGACATATTAAAAACACATTAATGTCAATTGCAACCCATTTTGCTTCTGTAATTTGATGTATTTCCGAAAGAAATGGGCTGTTCAGTTTGGAAAACTCTACAGGACTTCATTATATCCATCAAGGATTGATTAAACATTTGCTACATATCAGAATGAACCAAGACTGAAAACCAAGTGTAAACGGGGTCATTGTTGTCATTTAGCTTTCGGTCCTCACTACTTCCTCCCTCTTTTCCTCTCGTTCTCTCTCGGTTTGCGGAATGCATCATAGTTAAATGTGGGTCATTTGCCTCAGCTTGTTATTTTAAATCAGTTCCTCTTCTTTTGCAACACTGCCTGTCTTTCTCCCTCCCCGTCTTGTTTTTCTGCTGTTCTCCTGCTGTTCCTTCTATCACCTTATGGGGTGTTTGCATCAGTCTCTCTCTTTCTCACGTGTATGCCTGCGACCTCAGACTCTCTCTGTTATAAAGGGCTTTAGTAGATTTCTCCTCCTCCCTGTCCCTTCCTGTTAGTTAATGCCCAGGGCTGTCACACAGTCTCTCCTGCCAAATCACCGCTAGTTCACCCCACAGCACAGACTTGCGCTGTAAATAATCTTCTTACATGACAAAACATGAGCTAGGTTGTTAATTAGACTCAATCCTGATTACCTTGCCTCTTTCGGAGTGCCTGAGTGCTGTTTTCATCTCATCAAGATTGTACTTGTAACGTCTGTATCATCAGTTAGTTGTCTTGTTTATCGTTTTATGCTAACTGCACGCTCTATCTTGTCTGCTTCACATTCATTTGATTTAAATCTGTGCATTTTAACTCTGATCAGACCCAGATCCTGCATGACACACTGTCTGCTCCTGTAATCTGCACTGTTGTGACGTTCATGGCGCTTTTCCAATCGGTGTTCCCGCTTGTGTTTTGCTGTCAAAGCTATGCTGTTTTCATCTAACACCATGGGCTGCATGTGTCAGCCTGTTTGAGGCACAGTAACATGCACTGAGCCAGAAAAGCAACTGTTTCTCATGAAACTGTTGCGTTCATGATGGTAGAAAGTGACACAGTGCTTCCCTGTTGTTTTTAGACCATCATTGTGTGCCAACACAAGATTTGAACCTATTTGCCCTAAACAAATGTGGTTATTGACGCATTTTCATTTTTTTAATATATTTAATAATACAAATATAACTCTGGTGTAGTGGTAAACATGCACTCTACACACATCAAGCCTTGGTGCTCACATGAAAGATATAGGTTCAAATATGTCAATAAAGGCTGAAAATCCCATTAATACTGTTTTGATAATCAATCTTTCGTATAATTTAGTTGAATATTCCACATTTTTACCCAATGTTATCATTAAAAAATGTGCAAATTGAAGTGAGCATATGATAATGATAACAACAACTCTTGAAAGCAATAACCAAAGTATAAAACTGAAATATAAATAATATTCAATATTAAAGCAAAACCGCTAACTATAAATCTAATTTTCTGCTAATGATTCATTAAAATAAATTTGATATCCTAAACATATTGTGCATATATTAAAAATATTTATTAGTAACATTTATTATATTATAATAGACTGTTCTCAATATTAGTTATTATTGTTTTTACTGAAATGTTTGTTTGTTCATTTATTTATGCCAAGCTCTGTCATGAAACTCTAGATGGCACATGCTGATGGGTCGTTAACGCAAACTGATGATATTCACAGCATTAAACTACTTGGCTCAAGCTGATTGGTTCATGTCACATATGCAGCCAATGAGCTTTCTGCTTTACATTTAAATGGCTGGTTAGCATTTGCTAGAGCATTTCGCAGCGCGCTTTCAGAGTTCCTCTGAAACCCTCCACCTTCCCCAGCTCCACCTGTATAGATCTGCTACGGGTTATTTTATATGCCATTTGTGCCACAGCAGTATGTCTTAATACTCACAGCACCATATCAGCGTATGCATTGGCAATAGCGAGTTCCTGTACTTGCTTTGCAGAAGCAGCAGCAATAATCTACAACTACAGCAATAACCAACAGCAGCAGCAATTCAGCAGCGTAGTAGATTTATTCCGCTGAGACCAAATACATTAACATTGTCATATCCATTACCATCCTAAAATCTTTTGCATACATTTTTTTTGTCATGATAGAAATTTATTGATCAACATATCATTAATCAATTATCACATTCTTATTTTGGGGTATATGAGGGGGAAAATGAATGCTGCTGATCATGGTGAACAAACCAGATGTGGGTGTATGTATGTTGAGATTAGAGGGTGAGGAATCCTGCTCACACCAACACTATCCCCTCAGAGACAGGTGTCGTATCTAGGTCACATTTACATGGTAAATACAAGTGGATTACTCTGTCCAACGTACCTGAGAGAGTTGTAGTAAACATGTCACAGCAACGTTTGTTTCAACAAGTTATTAAGCTATCAAAAGAAGGTGTGAAATGTGTCTTAGAGTATTGTGCAAGATTTATTTAACTGTATGTTGAAATATACATTCAAGTAAACACCCTAAGGTTCAGCACAACTAAGCAGATGTAACTTGTTTATGTGGATATCTCCATACAGTACCATCCTCTCAAAAGGCCTTGCAGTTTAGTGGCGAAACCATGAAACTTTTATCAGTTTAATGCAGTGTAGCTAAGACACATGACAAACCTCTTCTTATTTACGACCATGTATAAAAATTCAGACACACTCGTACCATAGCTTTTGCATTCTAAAGCTTATGAATATTTTAAAAGATGTTTCCAATCCTCTACTCTCCTTAATACTTATTCCATTCCTCTCTGCAGGGGAAAACTTTGATCAGAGCCCCCTCAAAAGGACCTTCAAATCCAAAGTGCTTGCCCACTACCCAGAGAACATCGAGTGCAACCCATTTGACCAGGATGCTGTCAACATGGTAAGTGACTTCAGTACTTGACACTTTTACCTCTTTGGTTTACGCCTTTGATTTATTACCTCCAGCAGTGATTTGAATGTTTTTAATGTTTTACATCATTCTTTTGTTTTATATCATTCAATTTGTTTTGTGTTCGTTTTCTACAATCCTTTTGTTTTTTCCCTTTTGTTTTAGAGTTTTGTTTTGGTTGTGTTTTGTTTTATCCTTTTGTTTTGTGTTTTGTTTGGAGTCTTATTTTGTTTATTTTATTATTCTTATTTTGTGTGTTTGTTTTTGTGATGTGTTTTTTTTTGTTTTAGAGTTTTGTTTTTGGTTGTTTTGTTTGATTCTTTTTGTTTTGTATCATTCTATTGTTTTGTTTTAAGTTTTATTTTTGTTTATTCATTTATTTTATATTTTATTATTCTTGTTTTGTGTGTTTGTTTGTTTTGATTTGTGATGTTGTGCTTTTTAAATTTTTTTTATTATGTTTTGTTTGAAGTATGTCTGGGACACGTGCCTTTCAGAGCATGCTGAGGCTTGATGACTTGGGTGAATTTTTATGACAAATTTATCATGTCCAACTCATCTAAACTTGTTTGTTTTCTGTTTCAAATAAATTCCCACACACAATCTCACTATTTCTCACATTAGTCATAAGAAAGATCTGTATCTGCATTGATTTGGAGTGTCATAACATGTACACACAGCCTCTCACTCACTCTGTGGTTGCATGCAGTGATCAGCCGAAGGGTTTGTGTTACCGCCCCAGAGCATGCAGAGGTAACGAAAACTTCTGACCTATCGTTCCTGTGCTGCAAGGTCGTTTTTTCCATCGGCAAACGTAAACGGAAGCTTGGCAGTAGTGACACCAGCATCAATTATTCAACCCAGGCTCTCTGCTTACATCGGCATGGAAACGGCTCATTGTGCATGTTCTCACTCTGTAAAAGGAACACCTGAAGTGTTCAGCGCTGCCAGTCATGGTGCCATCACATCATTTGAGAAAAAAAAAAACGTAATAACGTTCCTGTGTGAGTAATTTTTCAAGGCCAGTCTCTTATCTGCAGAGGTTCGCACATAAAACTTTATACACACACATTAAAAGTGCTTGAAAGACAGCTTGCAATCACAGAACTCCATTTCAGTTCTCAGTCCTCCAAGGTCTGGATAAAATTTGTTTTTTGATGTTGCTGGAAATGTAAACCGTAGAAGCCCTGCATATATAAAAATGCACAATAAAGGCAACATTAAGAAATGTATAGTTACTGAAGCAACAAGTAATTTTCTCTCTCTTTCTCTTCAGCTCTGCATGCCCAAAGGTCTGTCATTCCGAACACAGCGTGACAGTCGTACCCCACAGTTCCACTCTTTCCTCATCACAAGAGAAGACGGATCCCGCACTTATGGTTTCGTTCACACCTTCTACGAGGAGGTGACCAGCCCTCAGATCTGCTCCGCCATGCAGACGCTACTCCAGATGCACCAAGCAGAGCATAATGCATCTGCCCATAACTGCCCGTCGTCGTCATCCTCTTCCTCATCGTCCTCATCCTCCTCTAGTATGGACTCTTTAGCCAGCAGCCTGGATGAAGTTGAGTCTCCTTCCTCAACTTCCTCCTCACAAGGGGGCCGCAGGAGCTGTGGCTGCTCCGGCGAAGGCTACGATTCTGTTCGTGACACTCTGTACGTGTCCAAAGCTATGTGTTTAATCACACCCATGCCCTTCATGCACGCCTGTAAACACTTCCTGTCCCAGGTGCACCGTGCTGTCATCTCCCATCAGCCACCCCCACTTCCTTTGGAAAGCTACATCTACAACATCCTCTATGAAGTACCTTTGCCGCCGCCTGGACGCTCTTTGAAGTTCCACGGAGTGTATGAACCTATCCTGTGCCAGAGGCCTGGTGTTGGGGAGCTGCCGTTGGCTGATTTCCCACTGAGTGAGGCCTTCCAGTTGTTGGGAGTGGAAAATCTGGTGCAGATTTTTACTTGTGTCCTACTAGAGATGCAGATCCTTCTCTACTCACAAGGTAAGGAACCTACAGTTTTTAGCTTAGGAAATATGTTTTTTGTTTTGTTTGGTCGTCTTTGTTTGCACCTGCCTAGTCCAGATTTATCCACTTGTGCTTGCTTTCGTATGGTTTTGTTTTGTTTTGTATTTTTTGCTTTCGTTTGTTTTGTTAATACTTGTTTAGTCTCTCTTTTTGTTTGCTTTCATTTGGTTTTGACTGTTTCAGGTTGTTTTGTGTGTTCCGCTTGTTTCATTTGGTTTCGTTCGGTTTCGCTTGGCTAAGTTGGCTTTGTTTGCTTTCATTTGGCTTTGCTTTCATATGTGTTTGGTCGTGCTTTGTTTTCTTTTGTTCTGTGTAGTTTCGACTGGTTTTGTTCATATTACTTTGGTTTTGAATGTTTTATTTTGCTTTCATTTTCTTTTGTTTCGTTCGGTTTTGTTTGGCTTTGTTTGCTATTGTTTTTGTTTGGTTGTGCCTGGTTTCTTTTGCTTTAATTTGTTTTGTTCATATTCATTTGCGTTTGCATGGGTTTGTTTGCTTTTGTTTGGTGCATATTGCTTTTGTTTTATGTGGTTTATTTTTGTTTTCTTTATTTCATTGTATTATTTTTTACTATTATTACATGATAAAATATTATTACAGTAATGCAGTTTCCAAACTATATATTGACTTTCTGTGGTTATTTCTAATGATTAATTGTCTTAATGCTATGATAATTATGTGGTTTAATTAATTCCATTTCAAATGTATTAACCAATTGGCAAGCTCTACTTTTATATCAAGCTTACAGGCTGTTTGTGTTTGACTCAAGTATTCGCTGTATGCAGATCAGTTAATCTCTTATTTAAGCATTTAAATTAGAGTTCTGATTTTGGCAAGTGCATCTTTGCAGGGCCTTTGATGTGGAGACTGGGTGAATGTGGAGGAGCCTAATGAATATTACATTACCCTGCTGCAGCACATATGCTTTTCAGTAAACACAAGCTGATACACATGCTAATGAATTCCTCTGACTGTTCTCCATATAAACAAATGATGAGATTTTTATGAGAAACATCTATTAATAATAACATTGCCCTGTTTTAGTAAGTCCACCATAGAGTATTATGTGATAAGTTGCTTTTCATCTAACTTAACTTGGGCCCAAATTGAACCATCATCAAGTGCCAAAGGCAAGTAGAAAAAAATGACTTTGATGATTCAATAAACAGATTTGCCAGCCAGTTTTAGGAATTTCAACATAATTCATGGTTAGGATCTTCACTGTTATGCATATATATTATAGTAGGGAAAAACAATAATTAACTTTTATATTGACAAAAAAACAATATACTAGGGCTGTAAAGTGATCAAAAAATTAATTTATTAATTACTCAATGTGGTGATTAATTGATGTACTTAATCACAAATTAATCACGCATCAAATTACAAAAAGAAAAGACATATTATGATATAAAATTTTTATTTTTTTTACATTTGATTTCTTTATCATTAATTTCTTTTAATTTGTTATTATTATTATTTTATTTATTTGTGTTTATTTATTTATTTTTCTATAATGCAGAATAAGGTTTCATGGCTGGTAAGACGTATTTTAAGGCCGGTAAATTTTATTTAAATAATTCACTTGCTGGTAGCAAAAAGTGAATTTCAATGAACTTAAATGTATTAATTACATATTTGTATTGTATAATGATTTCTTATAATCATTTTTGTCATTTGAAGTTATTTTGACTTTTCTTTTGTCTGTGTACATCTAGATTACCAGAGGCTCATGGTGGTTGCAGAGGGAATCACAACGTTGCTGTTCCCGTTCCAGTGGCAGCATGTGTATGTGCCCATCCTTCCTGCTTCACTTCTGCACTTCCTGGACGCCCCTGTGCCGTATCTCATGGGACTGCAGTCCAAAGAGGGCACGGACCGCTCCAAACTAGAGCTGCCTCAAGAGGTAACCTGCACATTCACACACTTTTTCTCACCACAGCCACTTAGAAATTCCTGGGATGTGGACGCCTCCATCAAGTGGGCTGTTTTTTTAAGAGGCTTTATAACTTTGAGCCGGATTGGCTGGTGACGATGGATGGATCTGCCTATTAGAATGCTCTCAATGCCTTTAAAAAGCACCAGAGGCCTTTGCTGAAAATAGCCTGACCAGTATGAGGCTCTTCTTTTACAATCCTTGTTTCCCTCTTATTTCTTAGCGTGAATACAGTGCTTCCATGTTTGATGTGTTACATTAGCTTCAGAGCCTTCGTTTCTTTGTGTCGTGCTGTATCAGAATTCTTAGCAGAGGTTAATTATTCATGGTTTGTCCATCTGGATGCTGCAAGGCTTCCCCACATCCTCATCCCTAAATCCCATTTTCCGTAACTCAGCATCCAGATTCCCTGCTATGCTTTCTCTTTGAAGTCACTCTGACCCAGAAAAAAAAGACAAATGGCATCAAGAGTGAGACCGAAGGGGAACAGGAGATGGCTCATTTTGGGAAAGCAGCATGGGTTTCCATTTTACTGCATCACTTTTGTGTTTCTGTTTGCTGTTTGCTTATGTAAGTTAATGTTTAAAAGTTTGGGGTCGGTAGGATTTTGAAATATTTTTGAAAAAATTCTCTTATGTTCACCAAGGCTGTATTTATTTGATCAAGTTGATTTGTTACATTTAAAAACACAAATATTGGTAATTACTGTATTAAGACAATTTAAAATAATAGTTTTCTATTTTAATATATTTTAAAATGTGATCTATTCCTGTGATGGCAAAGCTGAATTTTCAGCAGCCGTTACTCCAGTTTTCAGTGTCACATGATCCTTCAGAAATCATTCTAATATGCTGATTTGCTGCTCAAGAAACATTTGTTGTTATCAATATTGAAAACTGTTGTACTGCTTAATATACTGTGATATTTTCAGGATTCACTGATTAGAACTTTCAAATGAACATCATTTATTTGAAATAGAAAATGTTTTAACATTATGAATGTCTTAGTCTTTACTGTCACTTTTGATCAATTTAATGCATCTATGCTGAATAAAAGTTTGAATTTCTTAAAAAAAAACTCACTTTTGAACAGTAGTGTAGAAACTCTAGAAATAATACTCTTAATAAAACTCATTAAAATGCACAGCACACAAATATTGAGGAATATAAAAAATGCAATAAAATTATTATTAATTGTTATTTACATTTTGCCTCATCCACCATCTTTTTCTCACTGACCTTGTTACTGGGCATTTTGGGATTGCCATTTCCGTAGTCATCTCTTGAGGCTGGATTCTGCTAAAATGCTGCTCTCCTCACAACCGTTTCCTTATCCTTGCTTTAAAACCACTTGAGGTTTTCTGATAAGTCCTTGTGTAACAGCACTCCGAGTATGGCTAACAGTGACATTTAGTTAAATTATTATGCTTCAGCTCCTGTCCATTGTTTTTACCCATGTATTTTTACCCACAAACCTACATGTATGCACACACTCATGTTTATGTAGCAGTGTAAAAGGAGACATTAAAAAAATCTGACGCACATTTCAAATTATGTGCACTCATATGAAATGAAGACAGTCATAAATATGAACCTAAAGTAACTAGCATTTTTTTAATAGGAAAAAAGATGTAGTGTTTTTATTTAGCTAGGTCAAACACATACATACTGGCCCGAATGCTGGTTTCTGACAGGCTGTCAGCATTGTGGCCTGACAGAACGGATAGTTCTGCTTGACTGATTTATTTTTACAGCAACAAGGTCACTCTCACACACACTCACTTGAGGGCATTTTGACTGCATGAGCTGCATTGCATGTGACTGAACAGCAATGTGTCACACAGTGAGATTTCTAATGATCCATTGGATTGATTTAACCTAATTCCAGATGTTGGCTTTGGTTATTAGGTCAGTACAGCTGATGATTTCTATTGCAACTTGGGTCAGTGTGTGTGTTTGAATACTGTAATTTTTCACAATGAAGTTGGCTTATAATGTAATCTTCATGTTAATGTAGTGATTATTTTGCCAGGCTATTATTTTGGATTACTTTTTTTTTTTTTACCGAGATACACTCATTTTTTTGGTCTTAAATTACTTTATATTATATTATATTATATTATATTATATATTTGTGTATATATATAATATTAATTTATGACCCAAAAAAATTAATTATAAATAGTCAAACCAAAATTTCAGACGCCTTCAACATTTCTCACATTATCACAGTTTATTTGCTATAGTTTAGAAAATGGTAATAAAATATGACAAGAACTCAGAGTTCATTCATCTTGATAATGTCAGATCATTTTGATAGAAAGGTATGTAATGGATTCGGTTGAATTAGCTGTCAGCTGTTAAATTTAAGTACACAATTAGATCATACCAATTTAGGTCAACCAATTACCAAGCAATGCTTAATTTTGTTCAGTCTTTGATGTAAAAATGTCGCTTTAGCTATTAAAGAAAAAAACACTTAAGCAAAACATGGTCAGGTCAAAGTGTCTGAATAGTTTTTGGTCCCAAATTTTTTAATCAATTTTACTGGTAGTCCACAATTTTTGGGTATAATAAGTCACAGTTTACTTTATTTTGCTATCCTCACTTGCATAAATGAACTGCACCCACTAGTAAAAAAAAAATATATATATCTGGTGTCTGAATAATTTTTGGTTTGACTGTGTATATATAAAGTAAAATACATTTTAAAATGTTTTACTTCAAAGCATTTAAAAACACTTGTTTGTCATTGACCCATTTATACACACACACACACAAACACATTTCCTTTGTCACAGCATTATTGTTTATTGTTGCATTATACTACAGGTTGAAGTGTAATTACAGAAACATCAGCCTGGTGACATTTAATAACAAATAATAAAAGTGTTGTACAGCAAAACTTGAACTCCTGCAATTGCAGACTTAGATGTGTGGCTTGAAGCGTAAATGTTAAGTTGCACGGCTCCTTTCTCTCCTCAGGCGAACCTGTGTTTTGTTGACATCGACAGCCACTGCATTGAGCTGCCTGAAGACTTCCCTCAGTTCCCCAACAAGACCGAATTCATCCAGGAACTCAGTGAGGTATTGCTCAGTTTTGGTCTGTCTCCTGAGGGGGGCAGCGCCTCCCCAGAACCAGCTGTAAGCTCGCAGACCTCCATGCTGGTGAAGGAGCTGAAGAGCACATCCCTGAGTGAGCTGGTGGATGACAGAAAGAATGGCAACCTCGGTGGAGAGGCGCTGGACGTGCTGGAACTTCTTCAGGTCAACCCGACTCTGGAGCGTCTGCAGGCTCTGGCCAAAAGGACTGGGGTGAAAGTGGCCCGTCTGGAGGCATTGGCAGCGGGGCAGAAAGCTGTAGGGGAGGAGGGCGTGGGAGGAAGGTCTCCTGCCGAGGAAGAGGAGCTGAGGAACGCTAAACTGAACGTGCAGCTGAGGGAGGTGTTCGCTGCACGCTTTGCGACAATGTTCGCGGACTACGAGTCGTTTGTGATTCAGAACTCACCAGATTTGGAGTCCTGGCTGACCAATAGAGAGCAAATGCACAACTTTGACAAGGTGACTTACATTCTACACACTTATTAGCAAAACTAATTAGACACGCTCTTAATATTTTTGTTGTAGTTTAGTTAGGCACTTTTGTATTGGTCTTGTAGCAAAGTTTTCATCAAAAGTTTCAGATGGTACCTCCATATAAGTTCTTTCATTTGATTTCTCTTTAGGCCTCATTCCTTTCCGACCAGCCGGAACCGTACTTGCCCTTCCTGTCCCATTTCATTGAAACACAAATGTTTGCCACCTTCATCGACAACAAGATCATGTCTCAGTGGGAGGAGAAAGAACCCCTCCTTCGAGTGTTTGACGGACGCATTGAGAAGGCCCGTCTCTACAATGTTCGCGCACCCAGCTTGCGCTCATCTGTTTACCAGAAATGCACCTTCCTCAAAGAGTCGGGTAAGAAACATTGAGATTGACTTCTCATAATATATTAAAGTAAAATGTATTTGATGTTTTATCATAGTTTAATGTGCAAAGTCAATTGTTTAAGCCTTTTGAAGTTTCTACTATTAAAATTTTCAAAACATTGCTCGACATGTTGATCTCTGACTCAACCAACCAGTGATCCTTTGTCCAAACAATATCAGACAGGGGGAGAAAAAATAATAAATTAATATCTTGACACAGAAATTGCACTCTTCATCTTTAACGTAATTTGTGTTCAAATGAGCACATTTTTCCAAAGAAAAGTTTTGTGTGGAATGGAATATGGATGACTTTTCATAATCTCATAAAATCCCATAGGATAAAACCATACAACCAACCATACATTTTTAGTTATTCCCCCTAGAATTTCTTATTTTACTTGAATATACTCTTCCATTCAAAAGTTTGAGGTCGGTAAGATTTATTTTTTCTTTTGAAAGAAGTCCCTTGTACTGCTCAAGGCTGCATTTATTTTATCAAAAATTGAAAAACAGTTGCATTATGAAATATTACAAATAGAAAAAAAGAACAATAAAAAACAATATTTTAAAATATTTTAAAATGTTATTTATTTCTACGATGCTGTTACTTTTCTGTGTGACATGCTTCATCCTTCAGAAATCATTCTAATATGTTGATTTGGGGTTCAATAATATAATTATTAATTATCAATAGAAATATTACTTATTATAGAAAACAGAAAAAATAACAGCATTTTTTTGGAAACGTATTTTGTAACATTATAAATATCCTTTCTGTCACTTTTGGTCAGTTTAATGCATCCTTAAATAAAAAATAAAAGTATTAATTTCTTAAAAAAATAAAATCCCCAAACTGGTTGTGTATGTATGTCACATTACACAAGTAAAAAGGAGTGCAGTGCTATTTCATCTTGATTAAATTTTGAGGTCTTTGAAATGATTTTACTGTTGGGTGGTTTATACTGTGTTGGGTGTTCTTTGTCTCTATAAACAGATTCGGAAATCATTGTGTTTTGCTGCATTGAAAATGTCTTCTCATTTTATGCCTTACTGATTTTTGTGCAATCACATCCTCAGCAGAGCACCTTTCATCATTTTTTTTTCTGAACTGATGGTGAATCCCCAGTCATTGCTCTGTCACTACAAATTGTGTATTTCAATTTTAATGAAGCCTGTAGAAAAAAAATAGCTGCTGCGTACGTGCCCAGATGATTATAGAGAGTGACAGTTCAAGAGGGCGGCTGAGGGGCCTAGGAAGACGGCAGAAGTGGTTGAAAAATGAGGAGTGGAGCACAGAATGAAAGAACTGAAGAGTGTGTCCTCAAATGAGTCAAATGAATGGAGCGCTTTTGAAAGGCTGCCAAATGCTGAAAAGAAAAGAACGGGCGCCTGGTGCTCTATTGTGCCATCTTGGGAAGCCTGTGTGTGTATGTGCGCTGAATATTGTTGCGTGCGCGTCTGCTCGCTAAGCCCTCAGTACCATCGTTAGGTCAATAACCTCTTGTCGCACTGAAGGTCACTATTGGAAGATGGATGCTGCTGTTCTGGCTTAAAAAATGTGCTTCTGAAATGGCAAACTGCCCACAGATGCCCTATAAAAGATGCCCAACATTTCAAAAACAAAATGCACTATGGAAGTCATAACATTGATTGTTATATTAGTTGCACGATTAAAATGCTAGGCAGTAAATGAGTATGTTAGTATGAAAACAAGGTTTGAATTTATTCCAATTTCTGGAAAAGAATCAATGAAACTTTCTCATTCTAATGCACTGTACAACTTCTGTAGCAACTTTATTTTTTCCTGTCAGGCTAATCAACAACAGCAACAACAACAATAGCTGTTTAATAATAATAAATAATAAAATAAAATAATTATAATTATTGTTAGACAGTAATACAGTTATTATTAATTCATTGTTATTTTTATTATTTTTCTTAAAGTTACTGCTTATAGTTCTTTATTGAAGTTCATGTGTAAAATTCTAATTATTTATAAAAACTATGCAATATACAATAACAGTTATACTCTGTTTATTATTTATAATTCTGATTGTTTTAAGACACTGGTCATGTTTCATTATTGAAGCTGAAGTGTAAAATTGTTATTACATTAGTTTATAAAAAATATTAAATGAACACAACAATAATAAATAATGTTTTCTTATTCTTAATACAATAATACTTATTGTTTATGCTTTTATTATTATATAAGTACATTATAATAATATTATAATATTTATCAGTTATTTATTATACTTGGTTTATTATTCTTATTTTTTTATTGATATTATTTTATATTTGGAATTTTTGAATATTTATATTATTTTGAAAAAACAAGTCACTCACTCAGATTGCTCAGAAATACTTTTATTTTAGCGTTGTGGAAGTCTAGCCTCAAGCTTACAGCTTATTATTAGTGAATATTCTGAAGTAATTTGTAGCTTCAACACTTTTCAAGAGCTGTGTTTCTCCTCTCCAGCCCAGGCCATAGAGCAGCGGCTGAGAAAGATCGACCACACAGCCATCCATCCTCACCTGCTGGATATGAAGATTGGTCAAGGAAAATACCAGCACGGCTTCTTCCCCAAACTACAGGCTGATGTGCTTGCCTCAGGGCCCACCAACAACAAGTGAGTCCTCTTCATGGCACACAACACCGTTACGAGAGATTGACTATTCAGTGTGGGGCATGTAACACTTCAGTGTCAATATTAGTTATAAAGCTCTGTTTTAAACTACAACAGATGCTGCAATCCATCTGTTTTTAGTCACACTTCAATATTCAATAACCAAAAGAAAAATGATTATTTATTTAGCTGTCTTTTCATTTACTTTGTGACAAAAAACACTAAAGCAAACTCAATTTCAATGTGTGTGTGGGATAATCTAATAATGGAAACCCTCTTTGATCAGGTGGTCTAACCGCACATGCTCGACTCAGCGCAGAGTGGACCGTCACAGACAGCAGAACGACCATCTTGTGCTGGACAATGACCTCAAAGAGGTAAGACTGCAGCTTTCTTCCTCTTCAGCCTCTCTCCTCCTTTCTCTTTTTCTTCTTTCTCATCTGGTTCTGTGTGCAGCCTTTGATTAGCACAGACTTTTTATGTAATTCCTTCCATCTGGAGTCTTTTTACTTACTCCATCTCTTCTATACTGCTGCCTTCCAAGGGTCTTATTTGTCAGATGGTAGATAAAGCTGATTGTTGGCAGAATCACAAAGTAAATAAAGAGTGGTTTATCCAAAAATTATAATTCTGTCTTTTGCTCAGCCTCATGTTGTTCCAAAGCTGTAAGACTTACTTTCTTCCATGGAACACAAAAGAAGTTATTTTGAAAACTATAACTGTCGCTCTTTTCTATTGTTATTGTTAACTAAAATTAATACGATTAAAAACGGTTTTCAGTAATTGAAATAAAATATAAATATTAGATGAGAAAATTAAGCTTAAAAAATAAACTCATTTATTTTTTTAGTTAGTTGCCAAAAGCAACTAAAATTAGTAAAGCTGAAATAAATATAAAGATAAATAAAAAAAAAATTGTTTTTATTTATAAATTAATGACATTGACAAAAGCACATAACAGAATTTCTAAAAATAAAAATTTAATTAAATATGAAAATGAAATATAATTAAAAAAAATAATTAGGATACATCAATAATTCTAAAATAAAAAAAAAACGAAAATAACCCATATACTGTGTAAGTTGTCATTTACTGATAAATAACCGACAACCATTACAACCGAATCTCGAAATTAATAATCCAGACCAGTTTTGTAAATCAAATTGGCTGATTGATTTTCAAAAGAATGATTTGTACAGGAATTAAATGTTGCTGTCATAAACACGTCACGGAACAGTATGACTCGTGTCAAGAATTTTACATCATTTTTCAGTGAGCTATTACTTATAGTTATTATAATGAACAGTAATTCTCCATAAATCGCAGATTCTTGATGTCTGAATCACATAAATGGTCTTCAGGGCTGAAAGTGATTTACATGAAATTTGACTTGTAAATGGCTCCTGATGAATAATGCTTAATGCAAAGGCCTCTTGGGCTTTTAGTGAATTTGCCTGTTCTCATTTCTTCATTTGTCAGCATTTTCTTTTACTTCTGAGCTTGCGTGTTCTTTTTCAAGTGTCTTCTTGCTTGTCTTTTCTTGCATTCATGTGCATGCTGCTTTTTTTTTGTTCCTTTTCTATTGTTTCTTCATCGGTTCTGTGTGCGTTTGTATGCTGTGTGGGCCATACCACCTCACGGCAGGTGGAGGGGTGTTTGCTCCTGCAGAACTCTATGGCTTTCTGGGAGTGGGATAAGGCGCCACCCCCACCTATTAAACCGCCTAAAAAGTCCTTCTCGGCCTGCTGTCTGGTATGTGGAGGCCTGCCATTATATGACCGACTTAAAACATTCCTAACATGCCCTTAACAAACTCCTCCCAGATGTCAGAATTCCTAAAAGCCCCTCCCCTCTGACACACAGTGACCTTTGAACTCTGCTGCACACAGTCCTGCCCCTGGATATTCCCACACGCCGGAGTTTGAGTAGTGAGCGCTTACCGACCCAGTCACTCAGCAATCATAAACCCCACAACAAAGAATTAAATCCTCTGCTTTATAATCAACCCCCTCTTGTAGCCCAATTGATCTTGTTTTTCTGTAAAGAAAGCAAGGTATATTAAACCTTTTTAAATGACGTTGCTCTTTTAAATGTCTGTGTCCTGATCTCTTTGTGTAGAAGTACATGCAGGAGGCCCGTAACCTGGGGAAGAACCTGAGACAACCCAAACTATCAGACCTGTCCCCTGCGGTCATCGCTCAGACCAACTGGAAATTTGTGGAGGGTTTACTGAAAGAATGCAAAATGAAGGTCAGGATGAGTTTAATATGCACAGATGGATGTATTTGTGCGTGTGTGTTTTAACAAGATTCCCACTGCCATGGAATACCTGGAAATTAAGAATGTTGGTTATAAGCCGATATTGGAGTTTTATTTATTTATTTACTTATTGACATTGAGGCTATTTAAATATATATATCATTGTTATTAAATTCTTAATTTTTTAGCAAATCTTCAAATGAATATCCATTTTTTGATTCTTTATAATATTGTGATACCTAAATTAATTTATTTATTTTTAATGACAAAATTGTATATAATCATAATATTGGCCATTTGTTGGTTATTGGCCAAGACATGGAAAAAAATATTTGGCTTATCATATTAACAAGAATTTTAGTGGTACATCTCCAAACCTTTTAAGAGTTGCTTGATTCAATCAAGTGGAAAATTATGATTGATTTATTTACTTATTAATTATTAAAAAAATGTATCCCTAAAAGTCAAATAAATTAATACAATCATGAAAATGATTATTAATATGAAATTATATTTCATATTAAAAATTTCTGTGCTCTAAAATATTTAATCGGCTAGACATTAATCTTTGTAGAGTAGAATTTAATGCAAGCCACTGTCATAATAACATCAATCTGTCTGTTGCAAGTCTGTCTGGTGACTCTCAGCAGAATATTTTAGAGCACACACATTATCAATATGAAATTATATTTAATATTAAATGATTTCTGTGCTTTAAAATAGTTAATCAGCTAGACATGATTTTTTGTAGAGTAGAATTTAAATCAAGTCATTGTTCATAACATCAATCAGTCTGTTGAGAGTCTGACTGGAGACAGTTGTAAGCTAAGTAGTATAATCACATGCATTTATTAATTTAAAAGCTTGATGCTTAACGTACAATACAAATGGAAATCTGCTCCAGCAATCTCTGTGTAATGATTTTAATATCCTTATCAAGTAATCATGAACCGCTGGACAGGTCATGTAAAAGCCATAGAAATGCATTGGGCACGAAGTGTGGGAACCGGGTTCTGAGTACAAGCATAATTACTAGTCTGACCCACTTGTCTGCTGCATTAAAGACCTTAGACTCAATCAAGATTGAAATGTCTGGTATGTTGTTTATCAATGGATGTTCAGACCAAGCGTATGTTGGTGGAGAAAATGGGCAGAGAGGCTGTTGAACTGGGACATGGAGAGGCGAACATCACCGGCCTGGAGGAGAACACACTCATAGCTAGTCTGTGTGACCTGCTGGAGAGAATATGGAGCCACGGCCTACAGGTCAAACAGGTGAGACACACTAATGGAAATGCGTTTCACATTATAACATATACAAGCTAACGCTGGGAATCTCTGTGTTGTTATCTTGGTTTATAGGGAAAGTCTGCGCTGTGGTCTCATTTATTGCACTACCAGACGAGAGAAGAGAAAAATGAACAGCTGTTAGAGTCTCCAGGTAAAATATATATGAGTTCGTAAGACGAGAAACAACTCTATTCAAAAGTTATAGAACGACTTTCAGGGGTGTTAGTTTCTGTAGGGCTGCATTTAGTTGAGGTTCATCTCGCAATAACATAAATTGTCATTTGGCGCCTCTAGCACAGGTAGCTGAACTCAATTATGTAAAAACAAAATGCGAAACCTTGTTTGTGATATATTTGTCATGTGTAAATCTAAAAAAGTGATTAAAGTAGGATTTGATAAAGTACTTGTCATGCTTTGCTTGCTTGATACTGATTGCAAGTGTTATGCTAACATTTAGCATTACTGCATCATATTGAAGTGTAAATATACTTGTACTCAAAAAAACAATATGCTTTTTTTTTTTTTTTTTTAGACCTAAAGCTTGTTTTTCATTGTTTTGGGGAAGTTCAAGGTGTAAACATGTTTAGCTAACTTTAAATTGCTTAGTGCTTCTTACAGAAATACTGAAAGAGACATATAAGCTAATTTTTCATGTTCATAACTGTTTTTGTAATTTCAAAACACACTTGAATTGAGTTTTAAATTGCATTTGGCATTCAGTTTGCATAGTTAGAACAGTTTGTGTTCATGTATACAGTATGTCTAGACTATGTTTCAGGCCTAACACTTCTACATGCTAACAGGCTAACAGTGCCTCGAGAAGGGATTTAAAATTGCGATTTTCTTTCTTCTGAAACTGCTCTAAGTGCTAAAACTTTGTTTCTTGCTCCGCAGTGTCCAATGGCCAGGAAAAACGGAAGCCAGAGTCCAGTGTTGGTCTTCCTGCATTACGTGTATCAGTCATACAGGATATGAGGTGTGTTTATTGCCTGAGGACAGTTATTGTTGTATACCGTAGTGCGTATTACATTGTTTTGGTTGTATAATTCAGTTGACAATGATGTTTTTAAAAAAGAGATTGATTTGCATTGCTTGCAGCCTCTTCAACCCACATACAGTGAATTGCATTATTGCTTTTGATTTTCTGTCTTTCTTCATTATCCTCTCTCTTTTGACTTCTCAGACACATCCAGAGCATGGGAGAGATTAAAACCGATGTAGGTCGAGCACGTGCTTGGATCCGTCTGTCTCTGGAGAAAAAACTTCTTTCCCAGCATCTCAAACAGCTGCTGTCTAACCAGGCCTTAACCAAGTACGTGCAATACTAAACACACATCCACACTCCCATCTACACTCTCACACACACACACACACACACACACCTGCAGGCTTTCAGACTCCCACATTCACATACACACCAAAAATCATGCTCATCACAAGAATTTGTGAGTGACGCAAACAAGCACACGCATGCTGACCCGTTTCAAGTAAGTGCACCTGTTATTAAGTATGCGATGTTCCCACAGGAAGCTGTACAAGCGTTACGCCTTCTTGCGCTGCGAAGAGGAAAAAGAGCAGTTTCTCTTTCATCTCCTGAGCCTGAATGCCGTGGACTACTTCTGCTTTACCAGCGTCTTCACCACTATAAGTACGTCCTACAGAAAGAGAGACACACACAGATGTACAGATATGCAAATCAGGACTGTATCTACATAGTCAGTTGATGTATATTACATTTTTTACATTTGTTCCTCCAAATCTTGAGTATTTGGTGATATATTTGATGCAAACACTCATACAAAACAGCAGGGAACAGCTTCTGTATTCATCCAGCATATCCGGCACTTGATATTGATTTGATGCTGCGTGACGGATTGATTGATTGACTGACCAAGGCATGACAAATTCATATTTATGCTGCAAAACAGGATGTTGCATTGCAACTTAGAATATATTTTTAACTCATTACCAATGTATTTTTCTGTATTTTTTTACAATGCTGCGTTTATTTGCAATTAGTTTTTTGTTTTTTTTGCATCCTAAGTGATTCCATACAGGGCCGTTATCATCCCCATCAAGAAGCTTAGTAACGCAATGACCACGTCCAACCCCTGGCTGTGTGTGTCCGGCGAGCTGGGCGACTCCGGCATCCTGCAGATCACGAAGAACATTCTGGAAATGACGTTTGATGTGAGTGCTGTGACATCACGCTCCAGCTGTTCTGCCCTGAAACTGATACATTAGTTTATTTTGAGTGTCACAGTTTGTTTTCCTGTGGGACTGAGACAATCATCCATCCTGCCATCCGCAGAATTGAGTGTGCTTGCAGGTCTTTCGAAACATCTGTTAGATCGAAACTATTTATGGAAATGACAGAAATATAGCTGAACAAAAAAATATAAATATATAAATCTCATGATAACAATGTCACATTTCACTTTAAAGAGAAATTTTGAGCCTTTTTAGTAATATTTTAAGTATTTTTTTCTCAAATTTTCATCCAAACATTATTTTTTTCTTTATTGTGCTTAATGGAATAAATACAACATACTGTAATACTGTGACTTTTATTTCAATTGGCAATACAAATTTAAAAAGGAAAACTTAAAGGCAATAGAACAAATACTACCATAATGTATAAATTGTTTACAATTTAAATCATTTTTATTTAAATTTTGCAGTAAGATAATAAGAATTGAGGAATATAAACATAATCTCCGTACATATTTTATTAAATTATTAACATTATTATTAAAATGATTAAATGACATTTTTGCAGAATATTCGTAAAATGCGAATTTTCTATAAGCAAAATATAATTTCTTTCTGAGATTCACACAACAGCTGTTGTGAAATTTACTTTGCTTTGGTCTTTAAAAATATTTTGCATTCCCTCTCTATTGAAATGATTCTCTTGATGTCCAGATTATTTATTTTTTCCCCAAACTGAAATGGTGATTCATGCATTAGTGATCAAAACCTCTTTATTTATGCACTTCCACGAATCTATAACTTTGAGGAAGGAGATATTATTCTTACACCCCACCTCATACAACCAATCACTGCCATTTGTCTTGCTGTCAATCACCCATCATGTTCTAACTCATTCTGTGTCCTCTCGCAGTCTGCCTTTAGGCCTCACACGCACATCTCCATCGCATTCAAGGTTAGGTGCACATCCCTCCATTTTATTCCTCCCTCTCTCTCCATTTTTCTACTTCTCTACATAGAGAGATCTCCTCTTCTTCTCCTTTGGGTTGTTGGTTTAGCTTTAAATCTTGTGATTTTTGCATCCCAAATTTTGTACATTTACTTTGTATTTAGCTAGTTTTTAACTCTCATTTGGAGCTTACAGAGTGTTCATTTTGGACACTGTTTGTACACTTGCGTTTAGTCAAATTCTGAATGTTTTTAGAGCCGTGGCTTTACTATGGTCTAAACCGACCATAATAGTGCATTGTACACGTTCACATGAGTTCACATGGGTTGTTCGGTTATTCTCAGACAGCCTCTGACATGGTTGCCTTTTTCTGTTCTGTATGTGTATTTTACAGTGTCAGAACCTCGGGAAGTTGACAACAGTGCAGCTGGGTCATGATAATTCTGGCTTGCTTGCCAAGTGGCTGGTGGATTGCGTCATGGTCCGCAATGAGATCACCGGCCACATGTACAAGTACGACTTACTTTAGTCTCTTGCCATTCTTCCTGCTCCTTTTATGGTTTTCTTGTTATTTACTCATTATCCTTTCCAGGTTCCCGTGTGGCAGGTGGCTGGGGAAGGGTGTGGATGATGGCAGTCTTGAGCGAGTTCTGATTGGTGAATTTGTAGTTCCATGCAACGATGATGATGGAGGAAGAGGGTCTAAGACTCCGCCCCTTCAGCGATCACCTTCCCAGATCCGACGAATCAGCATCACATCACTTACAGGACGTGGAAACAGTAAGTTCAGCTTAAATTTCAAAGGTGCTCAGTAATTTGATTTGTTGTGCTGGCGGTCATCTTGGACTTACACTGACACCTAGTGGTTAAAATGTGGCATTGCACAAATAACATTGTTTATCAGTGACATTGTAGAAATGCTCTATTAGTAGTCAGCCACAATTACATTTTTAAACAAGTGTCTGATGATGGAATTTATGGAAATGAAGTACATGGTACTCACCTTGTATATAAATCAGCTTTTATTAGGCTACTGGGTATGATTGTCTTCTTCTATTGTGAATGTACATTCAAAACTATTTTAATGATAATTAATGTCAATAAATATTCATTTCTTTAGGTGTAAAATCTTTTTAATATTTGTGTTAAATTTGTGCAATTCTTCTCTCTACAGAACCAACAACTGTACAGATACAGGAATCCATCGGTGAAGCAGTCAACAGTATTATAAAGCATTTCCACAAACCAGAAAAAGAGGTATGATATGCCCACGCATGATTATTATCATTTTTGTTGTCCTTGTGTCTTTTTTTTAATCTAAAGGTTTGTCTGTGCTTTCAGAGGGGCAGTCTTACAGTCCTGCTGTGTGGAGAAGGTGGTCTTGTGTGGGCACTGGAGCAGTTCTTCCATCATGGATTCCGCTCGGCTCGAATCTTTCAGAAAAATGTTTTTGTGTGGGACTTCTATGGTAAGCTTAGCTTATTAAATGTTTCCCTGTGACAGTAGAAGAGAAAAAGAAAAACTCATATAGATCTAGTTAATTTATCATGTTTGTGTTCATATCTGTGGTTTAAAGCTTAAAACTTACACTCTATGAATTTTTTTTTTTTTTTTACTTTGGGATCAGTAAGATTTTTTGATGAGTTTCTTATGCTCATCAAGGCTGCATTTATGTGATCAAAAATGCTGAAAAACAGTAATATTGTGAAATATTGCAAATTAAAATAAAACAGTTTTCTATTTTAATATCATTTATTTTTTGTGATGCAAAGCAGAATTTTCATCACAGTCCTCAGTGTCACATGACCCTTTAGAAATCATTCTAATATTTAGATTTATCGTCAGTGTTGGAAACAGTGTGTGCTGCTTAATATTTTTTTTGGAACCTATCATACATTTTTTTAGGATTCTTTGATGAATAAAAAGTTAAAAAAGAGCAGCATTTATTTAAAATATAAATGTTTCCTAACAATACAAGTCTTTATTATCACTTTTTAGCAATTTATATTTATATATATTTATGTATTGGAGGGGGTAAAATAACTTTAAATAACTTCATAATTTTAAGGTCTCATTATATAGGGCTTTATCCTCATTAAAGACATTTGTAAATAAAATATTTTAATGTTTGAAGTAAACTATTTATAACAATTAATTAACACTTTTGTCCTCCAACAGTACTTTAAAATGGAGACATTTTAAGCATTTAGTATAATTTTGTATGTGATACAAAACAGTTATTTCTATTATATTGTTATGCTGCTTAAAATATATAAAATATGTTGCTTATATAATACAATATAATGCAATATAATATAATGGAGTTCCTATGTCTGTGTGTTGTACAGAGAGAACAGTAGCATTTATGGAGAATGCAGATCAGATTGGAGACCTGCAAGAAACACCAGAGCCTCTAGGTCTGAATTGTGAATCTTTCTGTCGATACGTCAACGCCATTAACAATATGCCACGCAACATTGGCAAGGATGGCAAGTTCCAGCTGCTAGTTTGTCTCGGGGCGAGGTAAGGACACACACATGCTCCTTAAAGCAAACTAATTTTGCTTTTTAATAAACAGAATGTATTTACAGTTGTCTGTACGTGTATTCCCACTCTCACAGAGACCGACTGTTGCCACAGTGGCTCCCTCTACTGACCGAATGCCCCATCATCACACGCATGTATGAGGAGAACGCGTTACTGCGAGACAAACTCACCGTCAGCTCTCTCATCGCAGTTCTGGAAACGCTCCATGACTTCCCCATCACACTGGAGAGCTCTCTAACTAAAAGCGTTGAGCTGTAACTCCACATGCTAAGGTCAAATTCAGACTGCTCCCCTTCTCTGCTGCCACCCTCAGGGCTCTACACCCAAAGCGGCTCTACAAGTACTCTGCCTTGTGCGTTCACTGACCAGGGAAGGACTGAGGACTTATCGAAGCATCTCAAACGACTGCTCCCCCAAAGAAATGAACTCAGAAGTGTGTTTTGTAGCAGTATTTGGAGTTGTGCTCTTTCTAATTGAAAGCGTTGATGGATTTTTTTTTTGAGTAGACAAACTGTTTTCCTGTGGATTTTGCTTTCAAACCTGTGGTCATTTCCGCGCACATCTGTCTGCGAGTCGAATCCGCTAACGTTTCTGCTTCAGATCATGTGCAGTGCTTTAGAAAGCACTGTTTTTTGCAAAGTATGTCAGGATACAGAGGAGCCTTAGTACTGATAGATTACACATTCAATAACCATCATTTGACAGGCAAAACTATTATACTTGAGGAGTTCAGGCATGAAGTGTTTATAATGACTTGAATTTTATGTTTGGGTGTTTTAACCGATGCTATCGGTGTTCTGATTGGCTGTTAGTTTGGAAAAGAGATTCTTGATATTGGATAGTCTGAAATTGAAGTTGTCAATCTGAAACATTCTCCTGGTTAAAAGCCTGTCAAATGAATTTTCAGAGAAAAAGGACATTCCAACAAGATGTGAATCGTTGTATGTTACAAGATATGTTTATATGCGTGATAGGAATGTGCGTGTGTGTGGCTTAACATTTGGGAAGATGTGTTTATTTTGCCAATGAGTATTAACTTAATTCTTAGATACTTCAGCGTCATGTTTGAATTTTTTATTTTTAAGAAAGAAACACTGGAAATCATCGTTAAGCAATAACAAGCCTGTTTCGGATCGTTTTTTTTTGTTATTAAACTTATAGTCACAGTTAAAATCTCTCAAATATTAATTATTACAATTGTGGGGTGCTTTAAATATAAAGTTGTAAACCCTAGTATTTACCACTAATTGAAGGTCTAAATGCAGCAATTACTTTGTAAATCCATGTTTGATTACTGCAGTACTTGCACATTGCTTAGAAATGAATAAGTATTGTCCTTAAACCACCCTTTATGCTTGTTCTTTTATGCATCAGTTTTAATCCGGAATCCCTGCTGAGAGAAATCAAGTAGTAATTACATATAAATTACAAATGCTATAGGATGAATAACAGCTTTGAATCTCTTCATTTTACTTAGGTTTTGGTTTTTAAGACTCTCAGCATTAAATCTAAGAGCTGTGTAGCACGTCAACCTGTGTATTTTCTTTCTTTCTTTTTATAATGACTCCTATCATTTGTATGTATTTATTTTCGAATGATGCTTTTGTGACACTGGTTGATTTTGGATTGACGCAATCTTGGGGTGATTTATGCAGTATGCTGACACTGTATCATTTATTTATTTTAGTAAATCTACTTTCAGGCTTTGTATAGTATGGAACGTCCATCTTGTGTAAAAGTTGACTATTTTAGGCCCCAAAAGTTGCTAAAAACCCAGAGAATCCTCTCGCTGGAGGGATGAGGAAGCCGCAGCTACTGTCCCTTTGTTTGCGGTGCTGATGCATGCCACATATTTTAGATCTTGGAGAAGTACTGTTGCTGTAAATGAATTAGTTCCTCTTCTAGATCTTGCCTCATTCCGTCTGTTTTTTCCCCTGTGTGAAAGCTTCTAAACATGGATCATATTATAAAAAGCTCCCTGTCTAAAAATGAGTGGGTTCCTCCATCATGTTTATATTTGTGAAGCAACTCATTAAAATTGCTCTGTTCATCTATATTTGTGTCCTCTCTGAACTTTTTGTCATCTTGTGAATGGTGTGTGCAGACGGGACATTATTTCAACACACGGTAGGCATGCATGGTATTCCAGGACAGCGCTCCGGTCCTAGAGAACATTCCTCTATGAAGAGTAATTCTTCATGGAACATTATTTTTAGTTTAGGGACATGCTGATGGCATCTGTGAAGCAAATGTTCTGCACTGTCTCATTAGTGTTTTTTTCTATAGTGGAAACCTGAGATTTCATGTTAGGGGAGACTGGGGAGTGTTGCAACATGAAAGTTTAACCAGTTACAAATTAGCTTGTTCATTCATTCATAAAAAAGGTACAAAATCTGTCACTGGGGCAGTACCTTTTTAAAAAGTACAATTTTGTACCTTGTTTAGCTATAAAGGGTGCATATTACTACCTTAAAATCCTTAAAAGTAGGCTACATTTTACCTACAGTCTACTTATTAGTACCTAAATTGCACATATTGGTACCTTTTGAAAATGTACAACCCCAGTGACAGATGTTGTACCTTTTTTCCTTGAGAGTGGATGAGCACCAAGCTCCTAAAATGACAGTAGCTGTAATCCTGTGTAAAAATATAAAGCATTTACAGAAAAAGGTAAGAAAGTGAAATTACGTCCTAATTTGATTTGTGATTCCAAATGAATGTCAAATGACAGTTTACTGTGCATTTAATTCGCTGTTACCTATCGGCTAGTGTTACTATCTTTACCATTTTTCAAATATGTAATTATAACAAATAGTAGCCTATCTATAAAATGAAATTAGGGGTAGTGATTTCAGTTATTTCAGACAAAAAGATCTGATTAAATGTGAAGTTGAAATAAAAGTTAACAATAAATTAATGCACTAATTTTTAAATGTCCATGTTTTCTAAATATCCCATGATCCAATATAGTGGTGAAACAAAAGCACTAACAGCTAATTTGACAATTTACACAGTTTAAGTACACATGTAGCCTAATTTTCTAAACGAATTAGCAAACAAATATAGTAATATTATAGCAAAGTTTGAGGGGAAAAAAACACGGAGCTATAAACTAAACTAAATGTACACTTCCCAGTTTTCCCTGTAAATATGATTGTTTGAGGGAATTAAACGTTTTTGTCCCGAAACCTATATAAATTTGGGTTAAAAACGTTACATTTATAAGGTCTAATGTCGTTTAGCTCTTTCAGCCTATTTAATTTATTCTGCAGAACCGTCAAAAACAGCTCTCTCGAACTATTTCCGCGATGAAGTACCGAGAGGACCGAGCTGGCGACATGTGCTCATGGCTGACGGCCGCGGAGCGAGAAGGACGTGCTGCGTTTGTTCAGACATCTGCTGTTCTCGTAGTAGTAGAGCGTAACTCCTCCCACCGGGATCGCAGCGCACTGGCTGCTGCCCTAGCAACCGGACCCGCCCACGTTTCCCGCGTAATTTTCTCTTCCTTTTATGGGCAATAGAATGCAGACGCAGTCAAACGTCAGCCGCGTATGCAAATGAGGTTGATTGAAGAAATTCAGAAAATGGTGGATGGAGCTCGGCGCATGCGTAAACATTTTACTATACTCAGACAGAAAGTGAGACAGTAACGAATGGCGCATTGTTAAATGAGTAACGCCTGTAACTCTTGGATTTCGCTGTGTGATTTGACTTTAACTGCTTCAAGTCGAGGTAAGAAAAAAGGGCTTTTTTTAAAGAGTAACTTAACAGTTTATGTGTGCTCAGAAGGTGTTATATTCGCCTTTCGAAAGGCCCCCTTAAGAAGTTGCGTGACAGTGCGATGCCCGGCTGAAAGCTGTCGCATTCATTAGAAATGTAGCAGTAAGATCACTTTTGAAGCTTGCTGAAATTGTTTCACATTTTTGCTTGAGTATAAAAGCGTGCGATAAGTTTAGTGTGTAGTACACTTGAGGAGGCTGCTGCCCATACAGCGCATCACATTTTAGGGCGCTCGCATCCTTTGCTGATGATAGCTGTTAAGTGTTTGATAACAGAATCGATTCATTTGAAGCCGAAATCGATTTCTATTAAACTCGTCAGAACAGACGTAAACCAAAAACGAGGGTTTTGACAGAAATGGTCAATGTTGCATTTTAAAATAAACAATTTGCATCCGCGTACTGGTTGAAAACCGAGAACTAGATGCAAAAACTATAACCATGAACATGCATTCTCATATATGTGTGTAGTTGGTGTTATACGCACGGAAAACCAGTTTTGCTGTTTCTAGTCGTTTTGAACTTGCGATATTGAACTGCGTGTGGTCTCTACTCTGCTGTTGGTGGGTGTGCTTCAAAACAAACCCGCATTTTCACAAGCTCATCAACGTTTCCAAACTTCTGCTTCAGTAACTCAAGAAGTTCAACGTTTATGTAACGATTAAAGCTGTGCCACTGTTACAAGATTCATTTCATGTGCGACGGAGGCGGTGTCACTGACGCATTTAAACGTGGAGCTAATAGAATCGATATTTTATTGTAGTATCCTGCTGGACGGTTTAAAATGTCTTATTTATCCCGTTAAGAAAATAAACATGCGAATACGTGTTTTGTTAGGCTCGGTGCTCTTGAGCGAAGTTGTTGCATGGACAGCATGTGTTTACAGTCTCGAGCGCAAAGCATGGAGTCGCACGAGCCACTGACGCAGAGTCGCGCGGAAAACAAAGAGCAGCGGACGAGCGGTTCGATTAAATTCACCCGTCTTTCTTCGCCGAGCGAGCACCACTGGCGTCAAAGAAAGCCCGTTAATTAGTTGCTCGCGCCGAGCAGGAGTCGTTTTCAGTGAAACTGCGGGGGAAACATGCTGAATGTCTGTTTAAAGATGCCGTGTGGCGCGCCATGCTTCCGCGCGAGATAGTGGGCGGTGAATACGGCGGGACACACGCACCATTTCTCTGCAGTACGCGTTCGACGAGTGTACATGTAAACGCCGCGAAACATTGATAGTGTCCGTATTATGTTATCTGGATAACTTTCGATGACACATTTAGACGTGTTAATGGCACTTTTGGTCGCGGTTTCCGTAACGGCATCGCATTACTTTCTTGCCCCCATTTTCTGCCCCTCCTCTCAAACGCGTTGCCATGTTTGAATTGCGTCAAGCGCCAGTTCAACTCGCGCACTTGCACTGTACAGTGCACCGTTTTAGAAATATGATTAAATATTAATATGCATATATTTAATTAAAAATGAAAATGCAAAGGCTTCAGATAGACATCGGACAGATGATACAGTTATAATGTTTGAATTTGATGCCTCGCCAGGGCACCGCTGCTATCACCGATCAGTGTCGATGCGCGAGGCCACCGGTGTCCGGCTCTATCAGCACCGAGGTTAATATAAGACCGAGCACTCACTGACACGATGATGACTGATAGCCCATATTTCATCTCTCTCTCTCTCTCTCTCTCTCTCTCTCTCTCTCTCTCTCTCTCTAATATAATCTATTAATAGTCATATATGTAATATTTATTAAGTAATACATTTATTAATACGGGGTATCGTACGTGTTATACATTTATTATTGTTATTGTATATAAATGTACAATTTATGTGTGTGCACAAATATATGAAATGTACGTAGAGCAATTAGCCTATGAAAATACTATGATAAAAATGAGACAACAGAAAAAAAAGTCATATAATTCATATTCATTTGTGTAAATGTAACCATTATTTCCTTATGACCAATTATACGACTTGACCAATTATTAGTAAATGTTTTATTATTACAGTATATATGGATAATATACACATGCATACACTACTGGTCAAAAGTTTGGAATAATTACGATTTTTTTTTAATGTTTTTGAAAGAAGTCTCTTATGCTTGCAAAGACTGCATTTATTTTATAAAAATACAGAAAATACAGAAAAAACAGTAATATTCTTAAATATTATTACAATTTAAAAGAACTGTTTTTAATTTGAGTATATTTTAAAATGTAATTAATTCCTGTAGCTGAATTTATTATGATATGATATGCTGAATGAAATGATATGCTGATTTGTTGCTTAAGGAAACATTTATTATGATTATCATTATTGAAAACAGCTTAATATTTGCTGCTTAATATCTTGGTGGAAACCGTGATACACTACCATTCAAAATTCTGGGGTAACACAAAAAAGTAATACATATATTCAGCAAGGACACATTAAATTGATCAAAAGTAACATTTATACATTTACAAAAGAATCCTGAAAAAACAAATCACGGTAAAAATGGTTTTCAACTTTGATAATAAAAAGAACTATTATGTATGTATACCAGTCACTTTAGTTGTTTGTAACTATGGTGCTGTGGTACTTTTTGCAAATGAAATTCCAGCTGTGTTTAAAAGCTTGTGTAAAATCATTGCATCAGCAGAAGTACCAAATAGAAAGTTGTTTTACTTCTGTCTTATCCATGTGTTACAGATGTTTGGCTTTCATAAGCCGAAGATGTACCGCAGCCTTGATGGATGCTGCATCTGCAGGGCAAAATCCTCCAGCTCTCGTTTCACTGACAGCAAACGCTATGAGAGAGACTTTCAGAGCTGCTTTGGGTGAGTTGGGTATCTATTATGTGCTTGTGGTTCCTCTGTAATAACATGATATTAACATCTGCCTGGTTTAATTACAGTGAGTACAGGATTCGTATAATGTATCTCTAGTCAAGCGTCCTTTTTCTTTTAGAGTAATGTGGAGGAAATAATGTTGTTTGTTTGTAATGTGAGAACTTCAGTGATTTCCATATGCATTATCTTATTACAATGGGATACTTCTACAGTTTAGGTGAGACTCGCTCTGGTGAAATCTGCAATGCTTGTGTTCTGCTGGTGAAACGCTGGAAGAAGCTTCCTGTCGACTCCAAGAAGAACTGGAATCATGTAAGCTCTGTCAAAGGCTGCATACATGCATACTCACACAGCCTCTTATTGATCACACTGAAGGCTTTTCAATTCATTTTTCTATACACATTGTTCCAAAGCGGCCTTACACAGAAACACCCTTAGTGAACAAGTGAACTGCAGCTCCCTAAGATGTTAAAGTAGATGAGGAGGAAACCTTTGGATGAGCTGAGAATCAGCTGGGGAAGCTCACATCCTCAGAATAACACATATTTCAACAATTTCATACATGCACAAATGTTTATTTTAACAGATGCAATAGTATTAATAATAATGAGCTACATAGTATTACATGGTAGTAGTCACTACTTTCAATTTAGTAAGATTCTAATGATTACAAATGAAAGCTAATGCAGTTCATATGATATGAAAAATAATGTAATTATTGAATATAATTCTTATTATGTAATAATGTTTGGGCCCACTGTATTACTACCTATTGTAGTTGATCTAAATCAGTGGTTGTCAAACTTTTTATGCCAAGTACCACCTCAGAAAATATTTGGCTCTCCAAGCACCACCATAATGACCAACATTAAAATACAGTCACGTAGTAGGCCTGACTATTCAGATACAGCTCTGCACAGTTAAAAAACGAGGCAGTTTTATTCCTAGGCTGGAATACACCAACTTAGTGCTGTGGATCGCCAGATCAGCTTTCACCGTGGACGAAGCGGAGTCCAGCCCGGAGTCGTCACATGTGGTTGCCGCTCCTTCGTCGAATCCACCGGCCGCGCCGTTCTCAAGCCCGCCGCCTCTGCTCACACTAGCCCTCCAGCCGTTCCCCACGCTAGCCCCCGGCCTCCGCTCACTCAAGGCTGCCGTGTGACGCTGTGTTTCGTTGTGAAAGTGAAACTACTTTGTTTGGCCTTCCAAAAA